AAAGAACCTGAATGTATTTTTTGAATGTACATATTTCTTATCAACAAAAGATTCGTTGTGGCTTGAGCAAATTTTTATTCCGAAAGTTTGGCCCAGAGAAAAATGTTAGTGAACTACTGATGCAGTATAAGATGTCATTTTACTCCATGCAATTATGGCAGCAGTAGAGTATGTGCCTGACAACATACACAAAGCATTTTCTCACAAAAACTCCTCCCAAAGTTAGTGTTTAAAGTAATGGTGCTTCTTGTATGCTGGAAAATACAGTAGCATTTTCTGTGTTCCTCTGGCAAAACTGGAGAAGTTTCAGGGTCAATATCAGATGTGGAACACAACATTTACTCCCCCACATAGATGTGGAACACAACACAACACATTTACTCCCCCACATAGATGTGGAACACAACACAACACATCATTTACTCCCCCACATAGATGTGTAACACAACACAACACATCATTTACTCTCCCACATAGATGTGGAACACAACACAACACAACATATCATTTACTCCCCCACATAGATGTGTAACACAACACAACATATCATTTACTCCCCCACATAGATGTGGAACACAACACAACACAACATTTACTCCCCCACATAGATGTGGAACACAACACAACACAACACATTTACTCCCCCACATAGATGTGGAACACAACACAACACATCATTTACTCTCCCACATAGAACCAACAAAGTAATATATTTAATTTGCTGGGAATGCCTCAAAATCCTGAATATGTACTGATTGGAGAGAGAGTGAGAGAGAGAGAGGAGAGAGGGGGAGAGAGGGAGGGAGGGAGGGAGGGAGGGAGGGAGGGAGGGAGGGAGGGGGAGGGAGGGAGGGGGAGGGAGGGAGGAGGGGGAGGGAGGGAGGGAGAGGGAGGGTGGGTGGGTGGGTGGGTGGGTGGGTGGGTGGGTGGGTAGGTCTTCTTTATTTCAACAAACTGGCCATATCCCACCAAATGGCCCAAAAGAAAAATGAAAGTTTTTCTTTTTAAATTTAGTAATTTGTACAGGAGAAGGGGTTACTAGCCCCTTGCTCCCGGCATTTTAGTCGCCTCTTACAACACGCATGGCTTACGGAAGAAGAATTCTGTTCCACTTCCCCATGGAGATAAGAGGAAATAAACAAGAACTAGAAAGAAAATAGAAGAAAACCCAGAGGGGTATGTATATATATGCTTGTACATGTATGTGAAGTGTGACCTAAGTGTAAGAAGAAGTAACAAGATGTATCTGAAATCTTGCATGTTTGAGACAGACAGAAGACACCAGAAATCCTACCATCATGTAAAACAATTACAGGCTTTTGTTTTACATTCACTTGGCAGGATGGTAGCACCTCCCTGGGTGGTTGCTGTCTACCAACCTTCTACCTACAAGATACATAAGGGCCTTGCCCCAAATCTGCATTTTTTTTTTTTTCCAACAAGTCGGCCGTCTCCCACCGAGGCAGGGTGACCCAAAAAAGAAAGAAAATTCCCAAAAAGAAAATACTTTCATCATCATTCAACACTTTCACCTCACTCAGACATAATCACTGTTTTTGCAGAGGTGCTCAGAACACAACAGTTTAGAAGCATATACATATAAAGATACACAACATATCCCTCCAAACTGCTAATATCCCAAAACCCCTCCTTTAGAGTGCAGGCATTGTACTTCCCATTTCCAGGACTCAAGTCCGGCTATATACTGCCATAATAAGAGTGGAGTGAAAGATGTAAGAGAAAATATAAGTGAACCCAGTGAATAACATGGTGCCATGAGCACAATAAAAGGATGTTGTGTCTGTGATCCCAGAGTATTGAGCACTCTACCAGAAGATACCAGAAACACTGCTGGAACAAGTGTAGAAGTCTTCAAGAGGAAACTTGACAAGTACCTCCACCAATTGCTGGATCAACCAGACTGTGATGCATATGTAGGTCAGTGGGCCACCAGCAGCAACAGCCTGGTTGACCAGGTAAGCACCAGACATACCTGGCCTGGGGATGGGCTGTGGCAGTAGGAAAAAACTCAATGCCTATCAAAGGTGATACTTGCAGGTACATCTTAACTGTATGGCTGACTACGTTATTTATCAAACCAGGGTACGGGCGGGTGGGGTTCGAACTCATGACAAGTGAGTGATAAAACTTGAGGCCAGCGCATAAGTCACTGGGCCAGTTGGCTACAATAAGATTCATCAAACCAGGTATATTTATACACCATGGGGAGGTTAGCATGGGTCCCACCGTGATCACAAATGCAAGTTTTTACGGATGAATCTCCCACCAGCGTGGCCGTGATAAACTCTAGCTCAAGTTCCCTCAAGCTGTCATTATGACTCACAAAATCGTAATAACACGATTGCAAACAAGCCAAGAACAGAATTACGTTACCTATGGTTCCCTTCACCACACTTAACCTTCCTAAGGTCAATGTCCTTCGCTTGGCTCTCTCACCTCCATTATCTGTGAACCCTTCACCATACTTACCCTTCTTACTTATCCTTTACTCAAACAAAACATTGTTACATATACTTGCTCTGTGTAGAGCTTTATCAAGTGTAATATGAGTGTTACTGTGTAGAGCTGTATGAAGTGTAATGAGAGTGTTACCCACTGTACAGAGCTTTATCAAGCATAATGTGAGTGTTACTGTGTAGAGCTTTATCAAGTGTAATAATAGTCTTGATAAAGCTCTACACAGACAAACATTACATGCCCTTTACACCATGCTTTATTTTAAATCTCCATGTAGGCTTTTTTTTTAAACAATGATTCTTCTGCAGTATATTTTTAATGGTCTTGATGACACTGCAATAGAGTATTGATGTAGAGTATTATTTATATTATAATATAGGAGGACCATTTATTAATTTTGTTTTAGATGTTATTCATTAGTGCTGGTTTTCCTTTATTGTAATTGAAAACTCAGATATAACGAGAAGGCAAGAATGAGCCCTTGGTTCACTCAAAGGTGTAGAGAGGCCAAAACTAAGTGTGCTAGAGAATGGAAGAAGTATAGAAAGTGAAGGACCCAGGAGAATAAGGAGAGCATAAATTGTGGCATGCTTGTTTTTAATGGTAGTCTGGTGTAATGTTAAAGCTATTTATTTCCAGTGTAATGCTGGAGATAATTATATCTGATGTTAACCTGGTTCCTGGGTAGTAGGTTGGTAAACAGCAACCGCCCAGGGAGGTACTACCGTCCTGCCAAGTGAGTGTAAAACGAAAGCCTGTAATTGTTTTACATGATGGTAGGATTGCTACTTCTACTTACATTTAGGTCACACTACACATACATGTACAAGCGTATATATACATACCCCTCTGGGTTTTCTTCTATTTTCTTTCTAGTTCTTGTTCTTGTTTATTTCCTCTTATCTCCATGGGGAAGTGGAACAGAATTCTTCCTCCGTAAGCCATGCGTGTTGTAAGAGGCGACTAAAATGCTGGGAGCAAGGGGCTAGTAACCCCTTCTCCTGTATATATTACTAAATTTGAAAGGAGAAACTTTTGTTTTTCCTTTTGGGCCATCCTGCCTCGGTGGGATACGGCCGATGTGTTGAAAGAAAGAAAGAAGAAGTTAACCTGGTTGATCAGGGTAACAGTAGATGGGCCTGGTCAATCAGGCTAGCAGTAGATGAGCCTGGTTGATCAGGCTAGCACTAGACGAGTCTGGTTGATCAGGCTAGCACTAGACGAGCCTGGTCGATCAGGCTAGCACTAGATGAGCCTGGTTGATCAGGCTAGCACCAGACAAGCCTGGCCCATGGCCGGGCTCCAGGAGTAGAAAGACACTTCCAACTCATCAAAGGTATATCAAAGGTGAGGCAAGGTCCATGTTACATTTATAGTTGAGTGTCAGGTACAGGGTAAAATGTAACATTGTGCAAGTCTAAACCTGAAATAATGATTTATTTCTGTTGTATACAAAAAATGTTATCCATGGAGGCAAAGAATGGAATGTACGAAAGTATAGTGGTACCAAACACCCTTATATGGGTGTGAAGTTTGGGTTGTAAATGCTGCAGCGAAGAGGTGGCTGGAGGCAGTGGAGATGTCCTGTCTAAGGGAAATGTGTGGTGTAAATATTATGCAGAGAATTCATAGTGTGGAAATTAGGAGTTACTAAAAGTATGGAGTTACTAAAAGTATTAGTCAGGGGGCTGAAGAGGGGGTTCTTGAGGTGGTTTGGTCATTTAGAGAGAATGGAACAAAGTAGAATGATTTGGAGAACATATAAATCTGTAGGGGAAGGAAAGCAGGGTAGGGGTTGTTCTCAAAAGGTTGGAGGGAGGCGGTAAAGGAGGCGAGGGGCTTGGATTTCCAGCAAGCATGTGTGAGCGTGTTAGAAGTGAATGGAGACAAATGGTTTTTGGCACCTGACAAGCTGTTGGAGTGTGAGCAGGGTAATATTTTGTGAAGGGATTCAGGGAAACCGGTTAGCTGGACTTAAGTCTGGAAATGGGAAGTACAATGCCTGGACTGTAAAGGGGGTGTTTGGGATATTGGCAGTTTTGAGTGACTATCTAAACTGTTGTATGTGGGTGCCTCTGCTAAGACAGTGATTATGTATGAGTGGTGGTGAAAGTGTTGACTGATAATGAAAGCTTTTTCTTTCTTTTTGGGGGTTTTCTTTTGGGTCACCCTACCTTGGTTGGAGATGGCTGACGTGTTAAAAAAAAAAAAAACCCCGAGAGATATATATATATATGTTGTTTGAGGGGGATGGTAAATGTTGCATATATTATTAGTGTGTGACATACAGGACAAAGTAGCTACTTGAGTGTTAACTTCAGGCAGTTGTTTTAGTGTAATCATCCTCTCTAGGGAGAGACTCTTATTCTAAGTAACATGAACTTCATTGCATCAAATCTGCATCCCTCTCATTGCCCCAGATGTTGCATGATGACTATGAATGGAGTTCAAGTGTAATGTAAGTGTTTAGTGTTTCTCAGATGTTTGTTTTGTGTTGCTCAGATATTTGTGTTGTGTTGCAGGGGAAGGTGCATGTTGCTCTGCGACTGCTGGTAGTCAGACACATGAACGATGGCTACCCACAACATGTCCTTGAAGTCAAGTAAGTTCATCCAATAGTGTTTTAAACACTGTTTACCACTCACCGAGATAGTGAGCTAAAGGAGGAAACACATTCACCATTACTTGGTCAATAAATGTCTTGCTGTCACAGGTGTTGACCACCAAGGTAGTGTAAGACAAATAAGGAAACACTAACCATTTCTCCATGTCTAGTTTACACAAAGTATGGTACTGTACTTGTTTGTGACAGGTTCAAAGATGTCTAGTATACACAACTTAATGTATGGTACTTGTTTGTGACAGGTTGAGAGATGTCTAGGATACACAACTTAATGTATGGTACTTGTTTGTGACAGGTTGAGAGATGTCTAGGATACACAACTTAATGTATGGTACTTGTTTGTGACAGGTTGAGAGATGTCTAGGATGCACAACTTAATGTATGGTACTTGTTTGTGACAGGTTGAGAGATGTCTAGGATGCACAACTTAATGTATGGTACTTGTTTGTGACAGGTTGAGAGATGTCTAGGATGCACAACTTAATGTATGGTACTTGTTTGTGACAGGTTCAAAGATGTCTAGTATACACAATGTATGGTACTTGTTTGTGACAGGTTCAAAGATGTCTAGTATACACAACTTAATGTATGGTACTTGTTTGTGACAGGATACAGGAGTGCAGTGACTTAGCAATAATTAGTGGATCTTGCGATCCATTTGCCATAGTAACGATGCTGTACACTAACAAGAAACAAGAGTCCAAGAGAACCAAGGTCAAGAAGAAGACCATATCACCACACTTTGATGAAGTCTTCTTGTTTGAGGTTAGTCTTTAAGCTGCTTTGATGCAGTCTTCTTGTTTGTGGTTAGTCTATGAAAGAATGGGTCTGTGTGATGGGTGTGCACCATTTAAAAAGAATCCTGCCCCATAGAGTGCATGGGAAAAGGAAAACTGACAGGGCTTGTGGTTTTAAATAGCTAATTTGTGGTGTATTTTTGGATGGTTTTTTATGGTTTTATTGGCAGTTTCTGGGATCATTGTATAGAATGGAAGACATATTACTGAAGTAGAGATGATTTTGATAGGTTTCAGGACTGGACATAGCTTGAAATTGGGCTCAAAGTAACAAAAATATTTGATTTTTGTAAATTTTCCAGAGGCGGGAAAGGCCCCCTTCCCACACCCGAAGTTTGTTTTATGTTTTTTAAGTGACATTGCCCGGCACACACAGTCACCTGACAGCTCCTTTTTGATGAATGTGAAAAAAAATTTTTCTTCAAAAACACAAAACCCTATAACAGGCATTTTTAAATTTAAAAAATTCAACAGATCACAGCAGACAAAACACCCACGAATTACAAAAAACATTGATAAAAAGCATCTTATGAAAAACATTTTAGACGGGGCTTAATAACCAAAGAATAATTAAACATACTAAAATCTAATACAGAAGCTAAACAACTTTTTTATGCAAACAATTTAATGAAAAAAAGGGATATGAAAAAGACGTGGAAGACCCTCTAAATCCGGGCTTTAGAAAATATCCAGAAACAAGATATCAATCAAAAAACCAGATGAACCACAGATCCAGCCTATAGACATTGCTAACAAACTTAATGTCTTCTCTACTATAGGATAAAAACTAGCAAGCAAAATCCCAGTCTCAAATACCAGGTGAAAGACAACTTCACTGGAAGTTACCCAAATACAGTGGCCCCCCGTTTTACGATATTATTTCAGTCCAGAAGTATGTTCAGGTGCCAGTACTGACAAAAATTTGTTCCCATAAGGAATATTGTGAATTAAAATTAGCCCATTTCAGACCCCAAACATACACATACAAATGCACTTACATAAATACACTTACATAATTGGTTGCATTAGGAGCTGATCGTAAAGGGGGGTCCACTGTACTCTATATGTAACTCCTACAATTCCTACTGAAGTCCACTCATAGTCACGAAAAAAAAGGCAGGAAATCAAATAACTGCCACCAGTCATGTACAAAAAAAAGCAGTTCATATGTTGTCACCCTTTTATTGCAACTGTGTTTAACAAATCATTGGAATCTTCAACTTTCCCATCCATACTGAAGACAGTAAAGGTCACCCATATCCTCATAGGAGGCAATCCAACTGAAAATGAATAAATATACACCGTATTTAAACTTGCCCCTACTGTCTAAAATATTCAAAAAAATAATATACACACGAGTTTACTCCACCAAATATCTCACATTTTTACTTGAGCTCTACCAGTTTGGATTTAGGCCAAAAAAATATGAATGATGCAATTATACAAATGCTCAAACTGCCTTATGCAAACACTGGGAGAAATGAATATCCCCTGTGGCTCTTCATAGACTTGTGGAAAGTATTGATACAGTAACTGCAATAAATTACACCTTTATAAATGAGACACCTGTGCTATATTTGGGTATCTTTATTCTGGAAAAGTTTTGTCACACAGTGGCTTCTTCAGTCCAATGCAGAAAAAGGTGGAAGATGAGGAGTAGTTTGAGGTAATTAGTCCCTCAGCCTGGAGTCGATGTGTTCGGTCCATCAATCTTGATGCAGGGATTTCTTCAAAACTTGTCTAATCTACAGAAATGATCTACTTCTACTATTGGCTTTGTTCGCCTACCACTGCTCCACTTCATCTATCATCAGTATTTAACCCTTTGAGGTCGAAACCCCTGATCTCAAACTTGCTCTCAGGGTCAAATGAAACAAAATGTACGAAATTTGATGGAAAAGTTATGGAATTATGCTCTCGCAAAGTTTTTCACCTTTTTTGAGCCATTTTCGGCCAATTCCATTGTTCCAGTCAACCAAACTCATAGCTATTTTGCTGGTATTCCTTTTATTCTAGTGACCGAGTATAAGAAACCACCCATTTACCTATTTCAACTGCCCAATAAAGTGATCAGGAATTGGCAGTTTGGCCAATTTCACATAAAATAAAAAAAAATTCCAATTTAAAAATAGGGTCTGGAATAAGCACTATAGATATTCCTGGCACTAAAAAACATTTCCTCTCTTACTAGGCCTCTCTTACTTTATGCTTGTTTTCCATTTTGAATTTTTATTCACACAAAAAATAAAAGGCTTACTTTTATGCAGACTACTGCATTATTGTAATAATTGTATAAATAATGTCAGTTCATTCCTAAATGCATATTAGACTGAGCAGTTGGATGCGTATTGGGCGAGTGATGTCATTTGGGCACTCTAGAATATTGGCAAAAATCAAACATTGCCCTTCGGCAGGAAGGTAGTCCTACATGGGACGACATTGTTTGGACACTTGGTGCGAGAGAACAATGCTAATACTAATTTTCCTCGAGACCTTTCCTCTAAATAACTTATCTTTATTTCACAAAAAAATAAAGTTTGTTAGCTCTTGGAATGTTGAAAAAAATCTGCCCTTTACTCCCACATAAATCCCAAAGTATTTGGAATATTTCCAAAATTCCCTCGAAATTAATTAGAGAAATCGTTATTTTACCATTTCTGTGAATATTATTCCACTATATTAAGTAATAAAGGCGTACCTTAGCGAAATAAGTGAATAAATTACTTCCGAGATATTGGCCTGGAGTGCCGGCCGGCCCACCGTCTCGAAAATTTTTTTTTTTTTGCGAAAATCGTGTTTGGTTGCATTTCTTAGTAAACTGATGTTCTAGTGCAGTTATCCTCTTCAAAACACCGTTTTCTCTTACTCAAAGACGACATGGAGAGGAGTAACTCATTTATATCGAAATATTGGTGGTGGACTCTCGCCATATTATGGCCTATTTTATTCAGTCGATAGTATATAACATGTTTGTATGTTATTTATAGTGTTTATTATATCATATTAAATCAATTCTGATAGATAAATAAGCCATAGAGTTGATATATAAGCTGATATAAGCGTAATATTGAAGAGATTTCTCCTGGCTCTCTCTGGAGCGGGAGTACTGCCGAGTGTTCCCAGATGGTTCCTGATTGGCTGGCACTCTACGGATAAGCTCCGCCTACTCTTATATGATGCCAAATAGTCAATTATTATATTAGAAAGAATAATGCAAGAAAAAGCGATAAAAAGCAAGGAAAAAATTCCAAAAAATATATGGGCTGTGAGCAGACGCGCTACGCATATCGCCATCACCATACCTGATATAAATTACTATAATTTCTTGTAGAAGCGTCGTAGAACATTGGTTCTTGTACCATTGTGTTGCCAAAGAGTTGAGCTATTTTTCTATATGACTAACTCAATTTCCATAATTTTTCGATATTTTTTTGAGCGCGCGCGGAAAATTGGATGACTGGTTCCTCAAAGCTCCACTCATCTTTTTTCTTTCATCAATTCTGTGGTTAACCTCATCCTTCATAAACCCATCAGCTGACAAGTCAACTCCCAAATATCTGAAAACATTCACTTCTTCCATACTCCTCCAATGTGATATCCAATTTTTCTTTATCTAAATTGTTTGATACCCTTTTCACTTTACTCTTATCTTTGTTCACTTTCAACTTTCTTCCTTTACACAGTGCAAAATAAACTGTGTAGACATTGCTGGCACTAAAACATTTCTTCTGTTAACCCCTTCAGGGTCCGAGGCCGAAATCTGAAGTAGTGTTCCAGTGTACAAGAAATTTTGAAAAAAAAAAAAAAAAATTTTTTTCCTACAGAATTAAAGAGTATGTTTTTGTGAAGGTAATAAGATAAAATTTTTTTTTTTCTGGTCAGTACTTACCGAGATACAGCGGCGGGAAGTTGACCCAAAATGACCGGGTGGCGGCAACATCAGTGACTTCTGAAAAATCCCATTTTTTTATTTTATGTTTTTTATACTTTTTTCTTTTCTTTTCTAATTTTTTTTCTTTTTCTAATAACATTTGTGGCCTGTGAGACCAATATAATGTATATTGTATAAGTGTACACTCATTGTATTCTACACAATAACTGCACTAATTTGTTTATCATTATATTGCTTACAAAACTTGTTTACAAGTTTATTGTAAACAAAATGATGAAAATATTAGTGTGGTTGTGTTGAATACAATGGTACCATATAGTACCATATGGTACAATGGTGCTATAGGGTGCAATGGTACCATATGGTACAATGGCATCATGTGATACAATGGTACCATATGGTACAATATGGCAAAATGTCACATGATACAATGGTACCATATGATACAATGGTACCATATGGTAGAATGGCACCATTTGGTACAATGGTACCATATGATACAATGGTACCATATGGTGCAATGGTACCTTATGGTACCATATGATACATTGTACCATATGGTACTGTTGTATTCAACACAATAAACACACTAATATTTTCATTATTATTTTGTTTACAATAGTTGTTTACAACAAAAATATGCAAAAATGTTGTATATTAGTAATGTTCTATTATATATTTACAAGTGTACAGGAACTCGACATGTTCCTCGAGGTGGAGCTTTGTCTCGGAAACTGCGGAGTCAGTAGCTAGCTTGTGTCACCACTCACTCAGTCTTGGCTGGTGTCTCATGCCACCAACGCCTATTGACCATATGGTACACGGTATATGTTACAGAGTACCATATGGTACAGGGTACCATAAGGTACAGGGTACCATAAGGTACAGGGTACCATATGGTACAGGGTACCATATGATATAGGGTACCATATGGTATAGGGTACCATATGGTATAGGGTACCATACAGCACAGGACACCATATGGTACAGATACAGGGATAACTATGGAAATAAGTCACCCTGGCTTTTTTGGGTTATCCTAGGATTTTATACATATGCTGCTATGTATGATAATCTATGTAATTGTATTTCTGTACACCCGAATAAACTTACTCAAGTGCATGTGGCATCATAAGTAAGTTTATTTAGGTATACACAAATAAAGTTACATAGAATATCATACTTAGCAGCATATGTTTGGAGAACCTAGGATAACCCAAAAAAGTCAGACAGATTTATTTCCATTAGGGTCCCTGTACCCTGTACCATATGGTACAATGTACTATATGGTACAGTGTACTATATGGTACATTGTACCATACACCATTGTACCATATAGCATTGTACCATATAGCATTGTACCATATACCATTGTATGACATGGCACCATTGTACCATATGGTACCATTGTACCATATGGCACAATGGTACCATATGGTTCAAAACCATAGAATTCATCTTCAGCTCCACTTCCATCAGTCTTAGAACTGTAAGTTGTGAAGAGGAGAGTCAGAATTCGCCCCGAGAGTGAGTGGGGAGTGAGAGCTTCCTTGCCGCCAGGCACTATGAACAAAGCTACTTTGCCGGCGTTCCCACAATGCCATGTGGGCATCCAGATTTTTTCTATGGTGTGCACACTGACCACCCAGACCCATTCTCTTAGATGTAGGCCTACCAGCCTTCTCGTGCTAAACTTGACGGCGCTAGAATTTTGGCATAGATCTACGGTTTGGACCCTGAACGTAAAGCCGTAGATCTACAGGACGGACCCTGAAAGGGTTAATTACCCTTTGACGGTGTCGGTCGTATATATACGTCTTACGAGCCAATGTGCTTGACGTATATATACTCAAAAATTCTAGCGGCTTCAAATCAAGCAGGAGAAAGCTGGTAGGCCCACATGTGAGAGAATGGGTCTGTGTGGTCAGTGTGCACCATATAAAAAAAAATCCTGCAGCGAGCAGTGCATAATGAGAAAAAAAAATCTCTGACTCTGTTTCTGGATTAAAACGCTGACTTTGAGGTGTATTTTCGTATAGTTTTTATGGTTATATTCTTGTTTTCGTAGTCATATTTGATAGAATGGAAAACATGTTATAGAATTAGAGGTGATGTTGATTGGTTTTACTATGAAAAGGACCTTGAAATGGAGCTCAAAGTAGGGGAAATGTTCGATTTTTGCCAATGTTCAGAAGTAAACAAATGATGTCATTGCCCAATAAATGTCCAACTAGCCATTCTAATATGCAGTCATGAATGGGTTGACATTATTTATACTATTATTACAATATTGCAGTAGTCTGCATAACAGTAAATCTTCTATTTTTTGTTTGAATAAAAATTCAAAATAGAAAGCAAGAGTAATATCAGAGGGGCCTGGAGATGTGACTGATGAACAAAGAATGTTATTTTAGAGCCAGGAATGTCTGCATTGTTCATTCTGGACCCTATTTTGAAATTGATATATTTTTTAATGTGCATGAAATTGGCCAAAATGTCAATTTTTGACCACTTTATTGGGTAGTTGAATTCGGTAAATGGGCAGTTTCTTGTACTTAGTTGATGGAACAAATGGAGTTCTAAAGAAATAGTTAGGAGTTTGGTCGACTGGAACAATGGAATTAGCTGAAAATAGGGCTCAAAGTGGGTGAAATTGCTGATTTGTAAATATAGCAAGAGGTTGCTAACTTCATGAGAGCGTAATTCCATAAATTTTCCATCAAATTTCAAACTTTTGGTGTCATTACCATCGGGAAAAGATTCTTTATCATTTCATAAGATTTTTTTTTTTTTTTTCAAAAATTTTGTGACTCCAGGAGACACCTCAGGATTTGGGGTTGCAGCAGTCAAAGGGTTAATCATGTCCTCCCCAACCTCAACTATATTACACTTGCCTTCCATTTTGAATTAATTTTCACAAAAAATTCAAAGATTTACTCTATTTCTCAGATAATAAAATATAATCAAAAAAAAAAAAGGCACAATACCGTGACTGGAACGATACGTAAATAACCCGCACATAGAAGAGAGGAGCTTACGATTGGTCATGGTTTATGGCATCACAATAATTGAATCAGACCTTGCAATAACCCACAAAACAGACCAGGGGTGTAGGGGAGGCCTTACCTGTTCTCAGGAAAATCATCAAAAATAGAATATTTCTGGTACTTTGAGGCCGATACGAAGCTACCTCCAGCCCTGAAATCAATCTAATTCATCTACTTCAGTAGTATGTCTTCCATTCTATTGAATGGTACCAAAAAAAAAACAGCCAATTAAACCATAAAAATTATCCTAGAAAGCACCTTAAAGTTGCTGTTTTAAACCAAAACCAGAGTCAGAATTTAGTTTTTCCCATCATGCACTGTGTGAGGCAGGATTTTGTTATACTGCATATTCACCTCATAGCCAATATCTTATATCTAGGCCAAAATTTATCACTCTCAGCTTATCTGAGTAAGCTGAGCTCATGATGTAGAGAAAACTATGTGAGATTGTAGTAGTATGTATGTCTGTGTGGGTGTCTTATTGCTCAGTTGGTAGTGTTGTCAAAACTCATATTGAAGGACTGGAGATTGATCCCCAGCATGGGTGAAACATTGGGCTTGTTTGTTTATACCTGCAGCTGCTGCTGCCCCTGTTCACCTAGCAGTAAGTAGGTACGTGGGTGTTAATGGACTGTCATGGATGGCATCCTGGGGAAGAACATTAAAGGCCCACAATGGGAATAAGATAAACAGTCTTTGATAACATTCTGACTATTGTGTTTTTTGGGATTATTAATCCTTCAGGTTAATAACCCGAACAAAGTCTTCTTTGTTGAGGTTAGTAGAGTGATGAAGTGTTCTTGGTTGTTACATGCCTTGCATCAAACCTATTTATCCTTCATTCCTCAGATGTGTGACCCCTGTGAGTTTAGCACTCTCCTTAGAATAACAATAACAGTAATAATTACTTCTCATTCCTTAGTCATTCTATGACCCTTAGTGCTTTAGCTCTTCCTCTGGACTATAATAATTTGTATTAAAATTGTAAATAACGAATGTGAGGTCTTTATTTTTGTTGTGGTGGCCACGGCAGCAGAACGGTCAGAGAGGTGGGAGTCAAGAGCGTGACAACATGTACAGTCTGGTGGATGAGGATGCTGGCTTCCAGGAAGTACGTGTAGCACTGTGGCACGACTCTCCTGCTGTCTTTGGTAATGTTTTCCTGGGAGAAGTGAAGATACCCCTCAGTGATATGCTTCCCACCCATGAACACAATGCATGGTGAGCAATCCTATTTTGTTCTTACTACCTAATCTACCTCTTCCTCTTTCTTAACTCTGTGGCTGCTCCTCGACTTGCTGTGGGGTTACGTTTTGATGAACCCATCATAAGTCTAAAATATAAGTTGAATATAAATATATGGTAAATAAATAAATAACTACTGTAAATAAAAACAATGGAACCTCGGTTTTCGTATGCCCTAGTTGGAGACAATTCTTGGAGAAAATTCTCTATAAAATGTATTTTTTTGTTAATATTTTTGGGTGTCTGGAATGGAACCCATTAATCAATTCCAAACACCCAAAAATATTAATAAAATATACATTTTATAGGGAATTTTCTCCAAGAATTTCAAGAGTTCATCTCCAAAGTATTGCTTTTGCAACATCATAAAGTTGAAATATCGTAAGTCAAGAGGCACCCAAACTTATTTATTGTTAGCTCTAAATTGCCAAGCATATCCCTTTTTTGTTGTTGTTGTTGTTGTTGTTGTTGTTGTTGTATCCCTGACAGAGTGCTCCTCCCAATCTTCTCTATCCCCTTGTTGTTGTATCCCTGAGAGAGTGCTCCTCCCTATCTTCTCTATCCCCTTGTTGTTGTATCCCTGACAGAGTGCTCATCCCTATCTTCTCTATCTATGATTTATCCTCTTGTTGTTGCATCCCTGACAGTGCTCATCCCTATCTACACTATCTATGGTTTATGATGATTCTTTTGTTCTTGCAGGTACTTCCTTCAGCCCAGAGAGTCAGCAGGGAAGCATCAGCGTGCAGACTTGGGAACTCTACGGCTTAATATATACTATACCTCCGATCACGTGTTTTCTAGTCAGTCATATGACTCTCTGCGCAACCTCATCCTCCAGAGTACTGGGGTGGAGGTAAGTATCATCCTTCAGACTAATGAGGTGGTGGTAAGTGTCATCCTTCAGACTACTGGGGTGGTGGTAAGTGTCATCCTTCAGACTACTGAGGTGGTGGTAAGTGTCATCCTTCAGACTACTGGGGTGGTGGTAAGTGTCATCCTTCAGACTACTGGGGTGGTGGTAAGTGTCAACCTTCAGACTACTGGGGTGGTGGTAAGTGTCAACCTTCAGACTACTGGGGTGGTGGTAAGTGTCATCCTTCAGACTACTGGGGTGGTGGTAAGTGTCATCCTTCAGACTACTGAGGTGGTGGTAAGTGTCATCCTTCAGACTACTGAGGTGGTGGTAAGTGTCATCTTCAGACTACTGGGTGGTGGTAAGTGTCATCCTTCACTACTGAGGTGGTGGTAAGTGTCAATCCTTCAGACTACTGGAGGTGGTGGTAAGTGTCAACCTTCAACTACTGGGGTGGAGGTAAGTGTCAAGCCTTCAGATACTGGGGTGGTGGTAAGTGTCATCCCTTCAACTACTGGGGTGGTGGTAAGTGTCAACCTTCAGACTACTGAGGTGGTGGTAAGTGTCATCATTTAGAGTACTGGGGTGGAGGTGAGTGTCATCCTTTAGAGTACTGAGGTGGTGGTAAGTGTCATGCTTCACTGTACTGGGGTGGTGGTAAGTGTCATGCTTCACTGTACTGGGGTGGTGGTAAGTGTCATGCTTCACTGTACTGGGGTGGTGGTAAGTGTCATGCTTCACTGTACTGGGGTGGTGGTAAGTGTCATGCTTCACTGTACTGGGGTGGTGGTAAGTGTCATGCTTCACTGTACTGGGGTGGTGGTAAGTGTCATATTTCAGAGGTATTTTGCAATAAAGTGTTGTGTCATGAACTGTTGTTGTGTCATAAAGTGTTGTTGTGTCATAAAGTAAGGTGATAAATGGTTCAGAGAACCCACATAAAGTAAGGTGATAAATGGTTCAGAGAACCCACATAAAGTAAGGTGATAAATGATTCAGAGAACCTCACATAAAGTAAGGTGATAAATGGTTCAGAGAACCCACATAAAGTAAGGTGATAAATGGTTCAGAGAACCCACATAAAGTAAGGTGATAAATGGTTCAGAGAACCCACATAAAGTAAGGTGATAAATGGTTCAGAGAACCCACATGTTGATAAATCAGACACATGTGCAACACTTTTGTATCTTTATTGTTTAAGCATTTTGCCACACAGTGGCTTCATCAGTCCAATACAAGGAAGAATGGTTGAAGGTCAGAAGGAGTTTGAGGTAATCAGTCCCTCAGAGTGGAGTCATTGTAATCAGTCCATCAATCTTTACAAGAACACAGCATATTCATGAAGAAGGGGCTTATATACTACAAATATAGACCCCTGTCTGTCTTCAAGAAGGTGCTGGACAGGCACCTAAAGTCAGTAACTGATCAGCCGGGCTGTGGTTCGTCCGTCGGTTTATGTGCAGCCAGCAGTAACAGCCTTGTTGATCAGACCCTGATCCACCACAAGGCCTGGTCTCAGACTAGGCCATGGGGGCATTGACCCCCGAAAACCTTCTCCAGGTAAACAGGTGAGGTAAAGCAGTTGTAGACAGTATCACCTTAGACGGATCCAATGTTGCACACGAGTCTAATTTATCAAACATGTACAATGTTTGTAACATTTATAAGGAAGGACTAAGAGAATGTTTACAACCATGCAGCCCATCACATCATCTGTGGCATGGTTGCTGGGAGAGGTGGTACCACAGAAGCAAGATGTAGTACAACCGCTCACCCGGGTCTTCCTCCATCATGGTCAAGTGGTCCCCTTCGTCTCAGCCTTTGCAAGACATGAAATATCTAAGATCACGTAAGTGCACTTTGTACATTACTTTGTTTGATAGATTGTAATGTAGTTGGTTGATAGACAGCAGTCATCCATGGTGGCACACTGAGTGTACTATACAGTGTGTGGAGATACACTGAGTGTACACTACAGTCTGTACAGTCTGAGTCTGTGGAGGTATATTGAGTGTACTGTACAGTCTTTGGAGGTATACTGAGTGTACTGTACAGTCTGTGAAGGTACACTGATTGTACTGTACAGTGTGGGGGTACACTGAGTGTACTGTACAGCCTGTGGGGGTATACTGAGTGTACTGTACAGTCTGTGGAGGTACACTGAGTGTACTGTATAGTCTGTGGAGGTGTACAGTGTGCACTATACAGGCTGTGGAGTACACTCTGAGTGTACTATACAGTCTGTGGAGGTATACTGAGTGTACTGTAAAGTGGAGGTACACTGAGTGTGCTGTACAGTGTGTGTAGGTGTACAGTGTGCACTATACAGTTGTTCATCTTAACTGATGAACGCTGTTTGACCCCTTCAGGTTTAACACATGTTGATTATACTATGCATTATTATTGTGTTCGTTAGAGGTTTTATTGATGGGTAACTACAGAATAGTTTACTGATGGACAGACTTTGCTCTCTGTTCATTCTCATTATTATTTCTCATCATTAGTGAGATATATTACAGATATGTGATCTTTAAAACTCTAAATGAAACCAAATCTGAAATCAGATTCATTTCTCAGGCATAACCGTGTGTGGGTCTCGGTTTTTAGTTTGCCGCAGCCTCGGGGAACTTGTGTTGTTGACACTAGAGCGGTGGTACAACTCTACCTCCTCCAACCCACCATCACTATAACTATTATATATGTCAAGAATAAAAAGTTACACTATCGTGACTGGAACAATACACAAATAACCTGCACATAGGACTAGTTAATGCTACAAGTCAGACCGAAACATAGTTATAAATTTTATTCTTCTCTGTGTGAGTTATTTGCGAGTTATATATACATACACTGGCTTTTTTAACTAGTAAACTGCACCTTTTTAATGAAGAACTTGTTTTTTTTATATCAACTTTTTCCCATTAAGGTAGCGTGATCCAAGGAAGAAGACACATTCACCATTTCTAATTCATTAGATGTCTTTTCAAAAGTGCAGACATTGGAGTTTGAGTAACCCTTCTATGTTCAGCATCCCCACCCCTCCTTCAGAGTGCAGGCACTGTTCTTACCTTCTGAACACAGGTCTGACTGACATGTTCCTCAGTCATGCTTAACTGTTACGTAGCTCTGGCAGATTTATTCTTCTCATTATGCTCTTTCAGTCCTATGAACATTGATACATCCAGTACACACTGTGGCTGGGTTGATACATCCAGTACACACTGTGGCTGGGTTGATACATCCAGTACACACTGTGGCTGGGTTGATACATCCAGTACACACTGTGGCTGGGTTGATACATCCAGTACACACTGTGGCTGGGTTGATACATCCAGTACACACTGTGGCTGGGTTGATACATCCAGTACACACTGTGGCTGGGTTGATACATCCAGTACACTCTGTGGCTGGGTTGATACATCCAGTACACACTGTGGCTGGGTTGATACATCCAGTACACTCTGTGGCTGGGTTGATACATCCATTGCACTCTGTGGCTGGGTTGATACATCCAGTACACTCTGTGGCTGGGTTGATACATCCAGTACACACTGTGGCTGGGTTGATACATCCAGTACACACTGTGGCTGGGTTGATACATCCAAGTACACACTGTGGCTGGGTTGATACATCCAGTACACTCTGTGGCTGGGTTGATACATCCAGTACACACTGTGGCTGGGTTGATACATCCAGTACACTCTGTGGCTGGGTTGATACATCCAGTACACACTGTGGCTGGGTTGATACATCCAGGTACACACTGTGGCTGGGTTGATACAGCCAGTACACACAGTGGCTGGGTTGATACATCCAGTACACACTGTGGCTGGGTTGATACATCCAGTACACTCTGTGGCTGGGTTGATACATCCAGTACACACTGTGGCTGGGTTGATACATCCAGTACACACTGTGGCTGGGTTGATACATCCAGTACACTCTGTGGCTGGGTTGATACATCCAGTACACTCTGTGGCTGGGTTGATACATCCAGTACACACTGTGGCTGGGTTGATACATCCAGTACACTCTGTGGCTGGGTTGATACATCCAGTACACTCTGTGGCTGGGTTGATACATCCAGTACACTCTGTGGCTGGGTTGATACATCCAGTACACTCTGTGGCTGGGTTGATACATCCAGTACACTCTGTGGCTGGTTGATACATCCAGTACACACTGTGGCTGGGTTGATACATCCAGTACACACTGTGGCTGGGTTGATACATCCAGTACACACTGTGGCTGGGTTGATACATCCAGTACACACTGTGGCTGGGTTGATACATCCAGTACACTCTGTGGCTGGGTTGATACATCCAGTACACACTGTGGGTGGGTTGATACATCCAGTACACACTGGCTGGGTTGATACATCCAGTACACACTGTGGCTGGGTTGATACATCCAGTACACACTGTGGCTGGGTTGATACATCCAGTACACACTGTGGCTGGGTTGATACATCCAGTACACACTGTGGCTGGGTTGATACATCCAGTAAACACTGTGGCTGGGTTGATACATCCAGTACACACTGTGGCTGGGTTGATACATCCAGTACACACTGTGGCTGGGTTGATACATCCAGTACACTCTGTGGCTGGGTTGATACATCCAGTACACACTGTGGCTGGGTTGATACATCCAGTACGCAGTGTGGCCGGGTTGATCCATCCAGTACACACTGTGGCTGGGTTGATACATCCAGTACACTCTGTGGCTGGGTTGATACATCCAGTACACACTGTGGCTGGGTTGATACATCCAGTACACTCTGTGGCTGGGTTGATACATCCAGTACACACTGTGGCTGGGTTGATCCATCCAGTACACACTGTGGCTGGGTTGATACATCCAGTACACACTGTGGCTGGTTTGATACATCCAGTACACACTGTGGCTGGGTTGATCCATCCAGTACACTCTGTGGCTGGGTTGATACATCCAGTACACTCTGTGGCTGGGTTGATCCATCCAGTACACACTGTGGCTGGGTTGATACATCCAGTACACATTGTGGCTGGGTTGATCCATCCAGTAAACTCTGTGGCTGGGTTGATACATCCAGTACACATTGTGGCTGGGTTGATCCATCCAGTACACTCTGTGGCTGGGTTGATACACCAGTACACTCTGTGGCTGGGTTGATACATCCAGTACACACTGTGGCTGGGTTGATACATCCAGTACACATTGTGGCTGGGTTGATTCATCCAGTACACTCTGTGGCTGGGTTGATCCATCCAGTACACTCTGTGGCTGGGTTGATACATCCAGTACACACTATGGCTGGGTTGATACATCCAGTACACTCTGTGGCTGGGTTGATCCATCCAGTACACTCTGTGGCTGGGTTGATACATCCAGTACACTCTGTGGCTGGGTTGATACATCCAGTACACTCTGTGGCTGGGTTGATACATCCAGTACACTCTGTGGCTGGGTTGATACATCCAGTACACACTGTGGCTGGGTTGATCCATCCAGTACACACTGTGGCTGGGTTCATACATCCAGTACACATTGTGGCTGGGTTGATCCATCCAGTACACTCTGTGGCTGGGTTGATACATCCAGTACACATTGTGGCTGGGTTGATCCATCCAGCACACTCTGTGGCTGGGTTGATACATCCAGTACACTCTGTGGCTGGGTTGATACATCCAGTACACATTGTGGCTTGGTTGATCCATCCAGTACACTCTGTGGCTGGGTTGATACATCCAGTACACTCTGTGGCTGGTTTGATACATCCAGTACACATTGTGGCTGGGTTGATACATCCAATACACATTGTGGCTGGGTTGATACATCTAGTACACATTGTGGCTGGGTTGATCCATCCAGTACACTCTGTGGCTGGGTTGATACATCCAGTACACTCTGTGGCTGGGTTGATACATCCAGTACACTCTGTGGCTGGGTTGATACATCCAGTACACACTGTGGCTGGGTTGATACATCCAGTACACTGGCTGGGTTGATACATCCAGTACACTCTGTGGCTGGGTTGATACATCCAGTACACTCTGTGGCTGGGTTGATACATCCAGTACACACTGTGGCTGGGTTGATACATCCAGTACACACTGTGGCTGGGTTGATACATCCAGTACACTCTGTGGCTGGGTTGATACATCCAGTACACACTGTGGCTGGGTTGATACATCCAGTACACACTCTGGCTGGGTTGATACATCCAGTACACACTGTGGCTGGGTTGATACATCCAGTACACACTCTGGCTGGGTTGATACATCCAGTACACACTGTGGCTGGGTTGATACATCCAGTCACACTGTGGCTGGGTTGATACATCCAGTACACACTGTGGCTGGGTTGATACATCCAGTACACACTGTGGCTGGGTTGATACATCCAGTACACACTGTGGCTGGGTTGATACATCCAGTACACACTGTGGCTGGGTTGATACATCCAGTACACTCTGTGGCTGGGTTGATACATCCAGTACACACTGTGGCTGGGTTGATACATCCAGTACACACTGTGGCTGGGTTGATACATCCAGTACACACTGTGGCTGGGTTGATACATCCAGTACACACTGTGGCTGGTTGATACATCCAGTACACACTGTGGCTGGGTTGATACATCCAGTACACACTGTGGCTGGGTTAATACATCCAGTACACACTGTGGCTGGGTTGATACATCCAGTACACTCTGTGGCTGGGTTGATACATCCAGTACACACTGTGGCTGGGTTGATACATTCAGTACACTCTGTGGCTGGGTTGATACATCCAGTACACACTGTGGCTGGGTTGATACATCCAGTACACACTGTGGCTGGGTTGATACATGCAGTACACACTGTGG